CTGCAAAGTTGTCTGCGGGGTGCATCCTGCAAAGTTGTATACTGTGAGGGTGTGTCCCATGAGGGTGTGTATTCTGCGAGGGTGTGTCCCACGAGGGTGTATTGTGTGAGGGTGTGTTCTTTGAGGGTGTATTCTGCGAGGGTGTGTCCCACGTGGGTGTGTATGCAGCGAGGGTGTCTGCGGGGGGCATCCCGCAAAGATGTATTCTGTGAGGGTGCTTCCTGCAAGGGTGTCTGTGAGGGTTTATCCTGTGAGGGTGTTTCCCACAAGGGTGTATTCTGTGAGGGTGTTTTCATAGGGGTGTGTATCATAAGGATGTGTTTCCCAGAAGGATGTATTCTGTGAGGGTGTATCCCAAAAGGGTGTATTCTGTGAGGTTTTATTTCGTCAGGGTGTATTCCTTGAGGATGTGTTCTGCATGGGTGTATTTTGTGAGGGTGTAATGTGTGAGGGTGTATCCTGTGTGGGTGTGTCCCATGAGGGTGTATTCTGCGAGGGTGTAATCTGTGAGGGTGTATTCCGTGAGGGTGTATTCCGTGAGGGTGTATTCTGTGTGGGTGTGTCCCATGAGGGTGTATTCTGTGAGGGTGTATTCTGTGTGGGTGTGTCCCATGAGGGTGTGTTCCGTGAGGGTGTATTCCGTGAGGGTGTATTCTGTGTGGGTATGTCCCATGAGGGTGTATTCCGTGAGGGTGTATTCCGTGAGGGTGTATTCTGTGTGGGTGTGTCCCATGAGGGTGTGTTCCGTGAGGATGTATTCTGTGAGGGTGTATTCTGCGAGGATGTATCCTGCAAGGGTGTATTCTGTGAGGATGTATCCTGGGAGAGTGTAATCTGCAAGAGTGTATCAAGCAAGGATGTGTTCTGTAAGGGTGTATTCTGCAAGGGTATATACTGAGGGTGTATCCTGCAAGGGTGTATTCTATGAGCATGTATTCTGCAAGGGTGTATTCTGTGAGGGTGTATCCTTTGAGGGTGTCTTCCGAGGGTTTTTCCTGCAAGGGTGGTCTCCTGCGAGGGTGTATCCTGCAGATAAAAAAAAGAACATCTTTCAGCATGTGTTAGAATCCATTATACACTGAAACCTCTACATACATCTACATACACATGATATATTCACCATGTATCATGAACAGTACTGTCAGGTTTCACTGTAGTATCTCTTTCACAGGGAGCATGTGTGTTCTATAGTTGCTTCCCTTAGGTGTGTCAGGAACCAATGATTGTGGAGGGATTGAATCCTAGATTTACAATGATGATGAATCTTGGTTTGTCGGCACCATACCCATTTTGACCCACCCAAGTTCATTGGCAGCAAAAGCAGGCATGGGTGCCCCAGTCGTCCAGTTGTGTCCCTTGGGCACGCCAGAAACCTATTATCAAGGGCTCAAATTACGGTTTGCCTTGATTTATGTTTCTAGATTTGCCAGCACCCTGCCGTGCTTGTGGGTTTCACTGAAGTGGTTAACATCTAGCACCTGCATATACTTCAGGCTTTCCTCCCACATCAAGCTGATGAGTCGAACTGGACGCACGCACCCACCCACTCACTATTATATGTGTTAAAGTTTACAATTGTGTGTAGTTGCAGTCATTTCTGTAAATTTTTAAACACAATGTTAATGATTTTACCGAATCTTTACAGGCCAATTAGTACATGCAAACACTGTAGGACCTGTATTATGTGAGTAACTGGAAGGTAATGTTAACATAAAACAAAATTGTATACATGGAAGTGTTTATTTTGATGATCGTATTTCTTAATCTTATCAATTGAAACTTGTAGAGGCATCCAAATATTGCCAATATGAAAGAGATAATATTGTGTGTAGTTTATGTGGAAGGTTTCAAATGTAAACAGACATTCAGGCTGTCTAAATAATATCACACACAAGTAAACACCCCCTTCCCCACGTGTAAGAACAAGGTCCACCTTATGTTTTTATGGGCTGCCGGATGTGAAGGAGCAGGATAACATGTCGTGTTTTGTGTTGATGCTCGTATCCGAAAAAATAATTTATGTTCAACAGAGTAAGAATCAAGACAGCGAAATGAATTGCTCACATGTACGCACGACCCGTGAAGATTCCGGGGTAGAATAGGTCTTCAGCAACCCATACTTGCCGTAAAAGGTGACTCTGCTTGTCGTAAGAGGCGACTAACGGGATTGGGTGGTCAGGCTCGCTGACTTGGTTGATGCATGTCATCGATCCCAATTGTGTGGATCGATGCTCATGATATTAATCACTGGATTGTCTGGTCCAGACTCGATTATTTACAGACCGCCGTCATATAGCTGGAATATTGCTGAGTGCGGCTTTAAACAACAAACCAACCAACATGTACGCTGTGACAGTCTTCTATGCAGAGTTGTCTCCCTTAGAGTCCCAGAAACCGATGTGTTTGTGTCCCTGATTCATCCTGAGTGATTCTGTTTGTCAGCACCACACCCTGTTCATGGGTTCCACCAAAGTTGTAAACGTCAAATACCGTATTCGACGTAATAAGCGCCCGCTCTAATAAGCGCCCATGGCGATATTTGCTAATATATTGGCTAGTGAACAATCCCAATTAACACCCCTTCCAAATGATCAATGTACACAAGACTTATTTATTCGTGTATAAGACACACACAGGTGTTATATGCACCCTTAATTATGGGGAATTTAATTCTTGAAAAATATATCTGTCGTACATAAACATTTCAGGCGGTCAGCATAAACCACGAAATGTATCTTTCAACTCGTTTTTTTCCACCAAAATAATATTCTAATAAGAGCCCCCTATTCCTAATTTTGAGAGCGCCCTGGGCGCTTATTACGTCGAATACGGTACCTGTCTTCCTGTCACATCCTGATGTAACACTGTGACATAACTGAAATACTGTTCTAAGCAGCGCTTATCCAAACTGTCTGTATGACAGGTTTATGATAACCATTGCCCAATAGCCATCTTTGGATAGGTCAAAATATTGGTGCTTTGCTTTGTGGTTATATTTCTTTTGTCAGTGGGGTGGCCTAGTGGTAAAAACGTTCACTTGTCAGGGAGAAGGCCTGAGTTCGTGTCACAGCTTCTGTGAAGCTCATTTTTGGTGTCCCCCGCCATGATGTTCCTAGAATATTGCCCAACGCTGCATTAAACTAGACTTACCCACTCACTGCTAGTGAAGTACGTGTAGATCTGTAACCAGACTCAACAATAGGGGTGCAACAATTAGTCAGACTATTGAGGCATTTCAATAGTATTGCAATTGTGTTTCAACTTTTTCAACACCTCTGGGGATTCTGGGTTAGAGTAGGTCCCCAGCAGCCTGTGCTGGTGGTAGGAGGCAACCAATGGGAACAGAGGGTCAGACTCGATGACCTGGTTGATTGCAGGTCATCGTACCCCAACAGCATGGATTGTTGCTCACAATATCGATCACAGGATTGTCTGGTCCCAACTTGATTATTTAAAGGCTGCTGGAATAATGCTAGGTACGACGTTAAACAACACACAAACGTAAAACCTTGTCAATGCTAATGTGATAGTTACATCAATATTCACACCTGCTCTAGACCAAGTGTTAATCAATGCTCTCACTATCGACCACTGGTCTCACTATCTTGAGACTCAGTTACATATAGTCAACTCCGGAATAAATCAAGTTACCCACAGCTGTTGCTAAATGATCTGAAAATACATCAATAAACCAGGTATCAGATTTTGTACTGATATCTTTTTATTATATTATCAGTCAAAATGTATTTTATTTGTGAATATTGAAAATTGAATATTTACTAATTGTGTGTGTAGAGACATTCCATGAGTTTACTTCGTCAGTAGCCCCGTGAAGACGCCGGGGTAGAATAGGTCTTCAGCAACCCATACTTGCCGTAAAAGGTGACTATGCTTGTCGTAAAAGGCGACTAACGGGATCGGGTGGTCAGGCTCACTGACTTGGTTGATGCATGTCATCGATCCCAATTGCGTGGATTGATGCTCATGATATTAATCACTGGATTGTCTGGTCCAGACTCGATTATTTACAGACCGCTGTCATATAGCTGGAATATTGCTGAGTGCGGCGTTAAACAGCAAACCAACCAACCAACTAACTTCGTCAGTGACAATGAACTATCTCCAGTAGGAAACACCCTACATGTTGTTGGTCTTGCCTTTCCCAGACCATGGTTTCCCTTTGATCATATTAGTACCGCCTCCGTGGTCTTGTGGTAGAGCGTCCGCCCGGAGAGCGGAAGGTCCAGGGTTCGATCCCGGGCCGCGTCATACAAAAAGACGTTAAAAGATTGTCCTTGTTGTTACCCTGTCTGGCGCTCGGCATTAAGGGGCTAAAACAAGGACTGGTCGGCTCGGAGTCAGTATACTGTGTCTGAGTGGGGTATTCATGTTAAACTGCGGCATGGTATCTCAGTGGGCTAGCACTATAAATCGGCATCAGTCCGGACTAGTACAAGCAGCCACACACACACATACACGTGCATGCACGTCGCTATATAAGTGCAATAATCTTTGACGCGATGTTAAACCCAATTTCACCTCACCTCCTTGGTGATAGAATTTACTTGATACAATTGACGCTAATAATTTGATTTGCTTATATTTGAATCCTTTCAGAAAGATTGTTATTTGGCTCAGGCCTTTTCAGCTAGTATTGTTTTGACAGTTGTGATCTTGTGAGATTTGGAATAGGAAAATACTAAAATTAACAAAAACACATTGTTGAAATGTACTGTAAAAAAATATTCGATGTAAAGGTGGCCTCTTTTTATTAGTTTAAATTTTGTTTGTAAATTTTATTTTTAAACTTGATTTGTATATTTTATTTGTATATTGAGACAAAAATTTGCATGTTTATATCAAATGATGCCCTGAGAAGCAAGAATATGTTTTTTTATATCTTTGTGGAAACGGGGTAAAACTTTCCTAATTCCTATTGAAGGACGATAGTCTTAGTGCTTCTACATGTTGGGGATGACGAATGTCTTCCGTTTCTACAGATCAACAGCTTGATGAAGCTGACCAGAGAGCTGCTATGAATGCCCTGATTGAACAGTGCAGAAATACAGTAGGCCCTGAGCCAAAGCTGACGATTTCTAACAAACATCCCGTCATGCTGTTGAATGAGATGAGGAGAGATGCTGTCTACACACTGACAGCGGAAAAGGGAGACAACCTTCAAAAGATCTTTGAGATGACACTAAGCCTTGCTGACAAGAGTTTCATCGGATCAGGGCTGGCCAAGAAGACGGCCAAGCAAGATGCAGCTGAGAAGGCCCTGAAAGAAGTCTACAACATTCTCTACGTTCCAGATGAAGGTATGTTCCGAGAGTTATCTGCCCTTCTTTATGGCCATGTCACTTGAAGCATGGTCTGTCACATTTTGTATTTTTATGTCTGCGTGACCAATCCCTCTGCTATACAGTTAGAGTTACATCCCTTAGACATACCAGGATCCTCTGGTCATGGGTTTGAATTAAAGGTTCACCAAGATTATCTCTAGTTTGTCAGCTTCATACTCATGATTTTGGTTTTCACCAAAGTAGTGAATATCTCCGACCTACATCACTGCGTCATTAAAGCTGATGCATGACATGACTGGAATAATGTTGAAAATGGTGTAACGCAAGCTCATTTCTGAGTTATCTCCCTTTTATGGAGAGGGCTTCATAATACATTTGATGTCAGCATGTGTGTTCACCAGCACGACATCCTGTGCTTGTAAGTGAAGGTGACATGTCACCTTGTTCTAGTTGTAGGCCTGTGTGGTATTGTGTTCACAACATGTTGCCAGGAGCATCAAGTGAAGCTGCCTGTCTGCAAACCCTGCTTTACAGTTGACTGCAATTAGAATATCAGTCTCCCTTAAACCACTAGTCCGAAGCCTGAGTAGTAAATTCTGTTCAGTCTAGTAAGCTCATCTAGTAACAGTTGTTAGATCGGAATATGACACGATGATGATATCTTGAGTCAAGATTGTTTATTCAGTTATATATTTGATGACACGACATGTACGTGCGCACACAACTGCACTCTCAACCAGGCTAACATCTAACCGTTATTCCCCAGCAACCTACCTCCCTTGTGTCATGGGGTAGCCTAGCTGTTAAAGCGTTTGCTCATCACGCCGAAGACCCGGGTTCGATTCCCGACATGGGTACAATGTGTGAAGCCCATTTGTGGTGTCCCCCGCCGTGATATTGCTGGAATATTGCTAAAAGTGACGTAAAACCATACTCACTCACTCACTCCCTCCCTCCCTTGCGTCACATATACTATCCCATAGAACATCACTTACCAGTTAACCCTGGCGACATCGACATGTGATCACTCGCTGGGTGCTGGCTTCTTGAAAGGAGTCTCACTGTTGTCAGATCTCGATATATTTATAAACTAACTTTTTAACATATGTGATTACACTGAACTCTGATGAAAATGATGCTTAGAGTCTATTTTGGGCTAGTAAACGAAATAGTTTTAGACAGAGGCTGGAATATCTAGATTATATACAAGACTTGACTCATGTTTGCCTCTGTAATGTATATTGTGAAAATGCAAGCAATGGCAACTTAGTCTGCAAACATTTCCTGTTTAGTAATGCATGTATACTACCTCCCGGATTTTTTCACATTACTGGAGTTAATCTGTCAATGACAACTTGTTGGTGAACTTAATCATTGATATGACCACAAGGTTTAGTTCAAGAAAGGTTAGAAAGTATGTACCCTTTCCTTTTCATTGATTATTAATTCCCTTTTTAATTTCTGAATATCCAAATTTATGATACACCGTGGATTAAGTGTGTTCATGATGGCAATCATCTTTCGTGTGTTTGTCGCGTTTATTCGTGAGACGTGTAAACATGGTCACAGAGTATTGTTGTTTTAGCATTATTAAGCTTGCACTTCATGAACTGGAACTTTTTTTAAACTGTTTCATTAATACTTCAACCTTGCCATCAGCACTACAATACAATAAATAAAGCAACAAAATACATGATCAGCTGTATTTTCACTGACACTGCTTATTATTGTTTACAAACTGAAGTTGGAAGAATGATGTTGGGTAATAAATAAACTCTCATCAGGTGTCTTTTTTTATCAAAAATATTTCAACACTTGTAGAGATTCGGAGATTTCAACTTTTGTCAACTTGTGTTACAATGTTTGATATCAAAAGACACACTGGTGAGACGCTCTGTATGAACTGTATTGAGACCCGTGACACATTCCCCATGCCCAGTGCTCTGTATTAACTGTATTGAGACCCGTGACACATTCCCCGTGCCCAGTGCTCTGTATGAACTGTAGCGAGACCTGTGACACATTCCCCATGCCCAGTGCTCTGTATGAACTGTACTGAGACCCGTGACACATTCCCCGTGACCCATTCCCCATGCCCAGTGCTCTGTATGAACTGTATTGAGACCCGTGACACATTCACCATGCCCAGTGCTCTGTATGAACTGTATTGAGACCCGTGACACATTCTCCATGCCCAGTGCTCTGTATGAACTGTATCGAGACCCATGACACATTCCCCATGCCCAGTGCTCCGTATGAACTGTATTGAGACCCGTGACACATTCCCCATGCCCAGTGCTCCCTATGAACTGTATTGAGACCCGTGACACATTCCCCATGCCCAGTGCTCTGTATGAACTGTATTGACACCCATGACACATTCCCCGTGCCCAGTGCTCGGTATGAACTGTATCAAGACCCATGACACATTCCCCATGCCCAGTGCTCTGTATGAACTGTATTGAGACCCGTGACACATTCCCCGTGTCCAGTGCTCGGTATGAACTGTATCAAGACCCATGACACATTCCCCGTGCCCAGTGCCCAGTGCTCTGTATGAACTGTATCAAGACCCATGACACATTCCCCATGCCCAGTGCTCTGTATGAACTGTATCAAGACCCATGACACATTCCCCATGCCCAGTGCTCTGTATGAACTGTATTGAGACCCGTGACACATTCCCCATGCCCAGTGCTCTGTATGAACTGTATCGAGACCCATGACACATTCCCCGTCCCCAGTGCTCTGTATCCTCACACATACAGTCTATATCTTGTCTTGTCAAGGCATATTTGTTCCTCATATATTGGTGATGTCCATGAGATATGAGTTTACCAGGGACCATTTCCTGTTTATCATAACCTCATGTATGATACAGAACAAGGGAGATAATTCAGCACATCTTATCAGCTTACAGATATGGTGTGAACAGCTAAACAGTGAATTACCCTACTTCTAACACAGTGATTGATTGATGTGTTGAATGATTCTGTGAAGACTGCCACTTGACCTTTGTTTAATATTTCCAACTTGAACACGCTCACCCACTGTTATCTTAAGCTTTTGGTGTTATCTCACACAAGCTGTGATTTTGCATGAATAATATTTATGCAAGTCCTATCATTTTAATGAATTCTGTAGTGTTGGAATAACATTATTAGTTGGACGTTGTGGGATTTGTGTCTGGAAATATAAATATGACATCACTATGATTTACCAATAGAAATGTTTTGATAGATTATGGTGTGATTAATGTGGTGAAAGCTGGCTGTTATACTGATTTAGATGATGAAGAAGGAGTGACTCGTACTGTACGCTTCCAAGTGTATGCTACTGCAGTAGTAATCATATTATATTATACCTTTATATATCACTCTTATCCAGATACTAGTACCCGACCAGTAGTTCTGTATGCCAGTTTTCATTCTCCACTCCCCTAGTTTAAATATTGATGCAGGTGATGATGAGCCGAGTGGTTAGAGCGTTAGATCGTCACGCCAAAGACTTGGGTTCGATTCCTCAGATGGGTACAATGTGTGAAGCCCATTTCTGGTGTCCCCTGCCGTGATATTGCTGGAATATTGCTATTAACCGTGTAAAGCCATACTCACTTAAATGTCAATGAAGCTACAATTGTTTTAGATTATAGTTTCAAGACAGTTATACAAACTGGTGTCAGTGACAAATTTCTTACCTCGCCTTGGGTGAATTAAAACGGGTCATTGGTAGGATGACGCAGGTATTGAGGGATCACGCAGATGATAAGAGATAACCTTTATACCTTTGAAGAGTGCAGGTCAGTTGCATCTGGAGTGAATCAATTTCTACCCACATTTACTGTTACATGTCATAGATGGCATGGGCCTGGGCTAAACCACTTGTTGCGGTCAGGCATGAGTTTTGGGTAGTGTTTCTGTCGCCTTCAATCTTGCACTTTCCATTGTTTTTAATAGTTGGCCATTTTTCAAGATTCTTGAAAGCATCCAATCTGTGTGACATCGGTATAAACAACATACTCTTCAACGTTAACGACATTACGACCCGTGAAGATTCCGGGATAGAATAGGTCTTCAGCAACCCATGCTTGCCGTAAAAGGCAACTATGCTTGTCGTAAAAGGCGACTAACGGGTTTGGGTGGTCAGGCTCGCTGACTTGGTTGATGCATGTCATCGTTCCCAATTGCGTGGATCGATGCTCATGATGACAATCACTGGATTGTCTGGTCTAGTCTTGATTATTTACAGACCGCCGTCATATTGCTGGAATATTGTTGAGTGTGGTGTTAACCATCACTAAACAAACAAACAAACAAACAACAAGTAAAGTGTCTTGGTCTGATAACAAGTGCAATTTATTGTTTGTGTTAAGTGAACCATGTTGTCATGATGGTGCAATAACAAGCATGAGTCTGTGGAGGTATCATGAGTCTAAGTGTTGGTATCAAAGGGATTATTACAATCTCCAGAGCATACTTCACATATATGTGGGGGCGGTGGGGTAGCCTCATGGTCAAAGTGTTCCCTTCTTCACTTCTGTTTTCTGTAAATAATCTGCAACATACACAAGATAATTTGGACTGTCATGTAAATTTTCAATCTATGTAGGGGGTGCTTAAGATTACTTACAGATTGGTCTACTGGCTGCTTAGTGAAGCAGGGTGCTTAGTATGGTCAATACGATAGGTCTGCTAGTCTGAGACTAGTAAAATTCAATGAGGCCATTGAAAAAACATTAATTTCAAGCCCTAGTAAGTGATTTCCCCTGTGTTCCTCTTTAGAAAGTTTAAAATGGATTTTTTATTTAAAATGTGGCTCAACAACCTCTTATATTTGCTCAACAATGACCTAAAAATATTCTGAATTTTAGAATACATAAGTTGACACTCTAAATAGACCGGCTGACACCCATATGTCTCACATCTCATGAAGTTTCAGAATGGTATTGGGAATTAAAACCTCCAACTAGATTAGGGTTACTCACAGAGGAAAAGGCGGTCAAGTCAGAACCAATT